AGATGGATGAGAGCGGCGAGATCGCGCCGCCCGCACTGGTGAGAGCACCAGGAGGCCCATCGAGGGCCGAGGTTGCGGAGCATGAGGCAACAGGTCACGTGCAGTATCGCAACTGGTGTCGGCATTGTCTTGCCGGCAGAGGATTGGGTCAGCAGCATCGCTCACGACCCGAAGAGGACAAGGCGAGCGATGAGCTCGCGACAATCTCGTGCGACTACACATGGATGACGCGAGATGGAAAGGAGGATGGGAAGACTAAGCCTATCCTGGTGATCCGAGACAGTCGGACACTGGCCGTTGCGGCCACCTTCGTGGACGCAAAAGGACCGACGCCATATGCGGTCAAATTCATGGCGAACTTTATAAAGCATCTTGGTTACCGTCGTGCAGTCTTCAAGAGTGATGGTGAGCATTCGATCGTTGCCCTGAAGGAGCAGGCGGCCAAGGAAGCAGGAGTGGAGAATGTTCCACAGGAGTCGCCGGTGGCTGACCACCGGGCGAATGGCGCAATCGAGAACTTGTGCCGAGAACTCAAAAGGCAGGTGAGAGTCCTGCGATCCTCACTGGAGGAGAAGTTGGGTCGAGTCTTGAAGGATGACGACCCTGTGCTGTCTTGGTTTCCAAGGCATGCAGCAGACCTGATGTGCAGGTACAAGAGAGGTTCCGACGGGAAGACACCGGAACAAAGGAGGTGTGGCCGAGAATGGAGAAAGCCGGCAATCGCCATAGGAGAGCGGTTGTATTACCGTGAGGTAGGAGAAGGAGCTAGGCCACTCAAGGAAGGCAGGTACATAGGTCACCACGGAAGGACTGGCACTTTGCTGGTTGTGACCTCAGAAGGAGTGAAGAGAGGCACTGGTGTTCGTCGACTTCCAGAAGAAGATCAATGGAATCCACAAGGATGGGAAAGCCTTAAAGGCTACCCGTGGGAGGTCTCAGTGCGAGCGCCGGGAACGCCGGGGCAGAGGGCCCCGGGAACTCCTGCTCAAGGAGTGGAGGACCTGCTGGTCAGTGAAGACCGGGTTGAGGTTCCGCCTCAGGTTGTGCCTGTTATGGCACCGCCACAGCAGCGACGGATTTACATCCGTAAGGCAGATGTGGAGAAGTACCAACCTACTGATGGATGTCCTGGATGCACTTGCGTGCTACTAGGGGAATCCACTCAGTTGCCGCACACTGAGATGTGCCGAGCGAGAATCGTCGGTCTCATGATGGATGATGAGCAAGGACGACGCCGTGTCGAAGCTCACAAAAGGAAAAGAGAGGAGACCGCGGAAGTAGGAGTGGAAGCAGATCTCCCAGCCCAAGAGGCCATGGGAGAGCCGGCCGCTGAGGCCGGAGTAGGATCTAGGCAAGACCCTGGACAAGTGATGGAGTATGTGGAGGATCCCGCGAAGAGGGCTGAACTCAAGAGAGCAGCAGCAGACCCGCCAGCATCGAGTAGCCCAAAGAGCAAGGCGAAGCCGACCACGCAGATCAAGAGACCGGGAGCGCTGTATATAGCGCCCGGAGCCAAGCAGAAGACGCAGCAGAAGCAAGGTGAGAAGCGAGAGCCCGCAGTATCTCCTGAAGAACTCCGAACGGAGACTCAACCGGCGGCTGACGCCGAGACTTCAAACACCCCGGACAAGCCCCCAGACGTGGGTGGACTTGAACTGGGTCGATTGAAGAGGATGTTGAAGTCCATGGTTGGACGGAAAGTAGAGAGAGCGTTTTTGGCTCAGGAGGTGGAGATCAACGCGGTCGAGCTGGAGCAGATCACCAAGCTGTGCGTGGAGATGGGCGCTGTTGATATCATGGAGATCTACAGCCCGAAGCGGTTCACGGCCCAAGCCGGGCAGTATGGCTTGAGGCCGGGCTTTGCGGTAGACCTTGAGGAGCAGAAACCGGACGGTTCCTACTGGGATCTCAGCAAGACTGAGGACGTCCGAGAGCTCGAGGAGTATGTGGACGAGGTCGAGCCGACATTGCTCACAGGGAGCCCACCTTGTGACCAATTCTCCCAGCTCCAGAACATCAACAAGTACAGGGTGAGCCCAGACAAGAGGCGCGAGAAGATGGATAGAGCAGTTGCTCATTTGCATACCGCCTGTAGGTTCTACAGGAAGCAGTTGCAGGCAGGTAGGTTCTTCTTGCATGAGGCACCGTGGAGTGCTACCTCTTGGAAAGACCCGGAGGTCCGTGAGCTCACTGAGAGACCGGACGTGTACACTGTCCGAGGCCCAATGTGCAGATGGGCTATGGTCGCTACGGACCGGAGGGGTTTGCAGGGCACAGGATATGTGCGGAAAGAAACTGGCTGGATGACCAACCATCCAGGTTTGGCCCAACTGTTGGAGGGCGAATGCACCAACAATGTGCCGGGGAAACCATGGCACCGGCACATCCACCTGATCGGAGGACTCGCTAGACCGGCGGCCCGTTATCCGCCAGCGCTAGTGCGAGCGGTCCTGAAGACTTTGAAGAGCCACCTTGTAGAGAGTGGCCAGTTGAGTGCATTGGACGCAGCAGTTGCAGGTCCAATCCCAGAGGAGAGCTTCGTGACGCCGGAAGACGTGGAGCAGTACTGGGACGACGTGAATGGTGGGTTTTTGCCACCAGACCGAGTCAGGGAGGCACGTCAGCTCGAGTTGGACTATCTTAGGAAGCAAGAGGTTTACGAGAAGGTGCCGCTCGAGGAATGCCTCAGAGAGACCAACGGGAAGGGTCCAATCACCACCCGTTGGATAGACACCAACAAGGGAGACCCCGCCAATCCCAACTTCAGGTCGAGATTGGTGGTCCGGGAGATCAAGGCCCGGAAGAGTCCAGAGGAAAGGATTCCTCAGAACATGCTGTTTTCGTCAACACCGCCTTTAGAGGCTATGAGGCTGCTATGTAGCCTATGGGCCACTGAGCGTGTATCCCATGGAGGACGACCACTCAAGATCGGACTTTGGGATATATCAAGAGCCCACTTCTATGGCGTACCCAAACGCCGCATATACATCCAGTTGCCGGACGAGGACGCCAGTCCGGGAATGGTGGGTCGTTTGACTAAGTCGATGTACGGGACACAGGATGCCCCTAACATATGGCAGCAGCACTACACGCAGCTGTTGATCAAAGCCGGATATCTCCGGGGAAAGTCAAATGGCTCAGTGTTCTATCACCCGACACTGGGAATAAGAGTGCTGGTGCACGGAGATGATTTCATGGCGTTAGGAGACGCCGAGGCGCTGAAGGAAGTAGATACTTTGCTTCGCAGTGCCTACGAGTTGAAATGGCTCGGGACGATAGGTGATGAGGAAGGAGACCACAAGGAGGTCCACTTTCTCAACCGGCTCATTCGTTGTGAACAACATCAAGGAGCGAGTGCGATCCTGATCGAGCCAGATCGACGCCATGTTGATTTGCTTGTGCAGCAGCTTGGCATGGAGAATGCCAAGGGAGCGGAGACACCGGACGTGAAGAAGTCCGTGGATTTGCAGATGCAGGAAGCCCGGAGCCCAGCTCTACCGAAAGAGCAGGCTTCCCTGTATCGCTCATGCGTGATGAGGGCAGCGTACCTGTCACAGGACAGGTTGGACATCAGCCACGCTGTGAAGAATCTTGCGAGGAAGATGGTTTCTCCTACAGAGGCATCTTTGCAGGATTTGAAGCGACTGTGTCGCTACCTCATCAAGAAGCCGGACGTGTGTCAGGTCTTTGCACGGCAAGCCAAGCCGAGCAAGCTCCGAATCCAGGTGGATTCCGATCATGCCGGAGACGCAATAACGAGGAGATCCACAACAGGCATGGTTGCTCTGTATGGGTTGCATGTGCTCAAGCACAGCAGCAATGTGCAGTCGACCATCGCTTTGTCGACTGGGGAGTCGGAGTATTATGCTCTTGTCAAAGGAGGTTCAGTTGGTCTAGGCCTACAGTCACTCTTGGAGGACTTTGCGGTCGAGACCCAGGTGCTGATTCAATCAGATGCGACTGCAGCAAAAGGAACTGTCAATCGGGCAGGTCTGGGAAAGGCCCGTCACATCCAGACGAGGTTCCTGTGGTTGCAGGAAAGGGTCAGCATGGACCATCTGAGGGTGGAGCATACCCCTGGCAAGTCCAACAGGGCGGATGCTCTAACAAAGAGCATTCCAGGTGTACAGATGTCTGAGACCATGCGAAGGTGTGGTTATGTTTTCCTTAACCAGCGTAGCAAGGGACAGCTTAAGCTACTAGAAGGCTAAGGTCCCTGGCCAGACTCCGCTACCTATATTGCTGTGCGAGCGTGTACAGAGACGCTCTTCCAGCAAGGAGGAGTCATGATGTGTATAGTCATAATTGCCCAATACGCTGATTGCACTCCGTGTGGTTTTGGCTCAAGAAAAGGGTGCGCTCCGCAGTGCACCCCAGAGCCGAGATATTGCATTTTGATCCCTGAAAGCGCCAAGAAGGACATGTACAAGAAGCCCGTCGAGGGCGTCAAGCTGTGGATTGTCCAGGGGACGCCTCTGGCCTGGAGCCTGAGAAAGCCGCCGCCGGGTAAGAGACGCAGCCTCTAAGTCCCTTTGGTAGACCCAAGAGCTCCACTCATTCAGTTTTGGGAACATTCAGACACCAACCAGGCAATGCAGAAGCAGTTCAAGGTAGGAAAGTTGATGAAACAGCCGATGGATGCTAGCTCCAACGTGAATGTGCTGGCAACCAAAGTTTCTTGCGCAACCAACATGTATTGTGCGTAGGATGACACGTATGCCAAGAGCCCTTGGTTTGACCCGGTCTAGTCCCTGCCACCAAGCCAACTATGTCGACTGTCCCCAGCAACAGCAGCTACGGTGGACTTGTTGCTTGCATGTGTCAATCGCAGGGATGTATGTGCAAACATACCTGAGAGGCATCTTTCAATCGCATATGATACTCTGTCCTGTGTTGCTTCTTGTGCCCACTCGGCACTTGGCGAATTGCTGTTCGGGGTATTCTGCTATACGGACTGTTCTTGTTGTTGTTTGGTTTTCGATCCACTTGCGTGCATTGAGGTGGACATGTCCAAGGACAGCACGTTCAGCGCCAATGTATCTTGGTGCCTCGTCCGCCCCAACATAGTGTTAGTGGATCAGGCTTGGCATGTGGTCCCCTGAATCGGGGCATGCTCGATTGCCTTGAATAATTCATGCGTGAGCCCTTGTCTATAGCCCCCCCCCGCCCCCCACTTCTTGGTGAGTATTTCTCTTTCTCTCCGGTGCCCGCGTCATAGAGATTAATGCGGGTTGCTCAGGAGTATCATGTCTTTATGGAATGCTAGCATTGCCACGTGCTGGAAGTGTCTCTTTGGGCCTCCCTGGCGTGTTCCTGTGTGCCTCGACGCGAAATACACCTGTTGAGAGGACATTTCTGACATATACCTGAGAGATGCGTGCATTTGTCTCAGCCTGATGAACACCCCCCCCCCCCAAAACGGGTGGTTTCCTGTTGGCTTCCCCTTTTCACAACTGGGGCACCATCACAAAGACGCACCCACTTTGCCCATTCGTCCCTTTTGAGGGCACCGTTTTTGCAAAAGGATTTCTTTGCAAGCAGACACTTCACACTTGTTTGGGGTAAGCACACAGTTAAGAGAAACGCTTAGCAATGGGTTTCAGAGGATTGAATGTGTAGGGCACCTTCTGACATCCAAATTCCTTTCCAAAGAGGGCACTTCCATTGCGCGGACAAGTGGAAAGCCGCGAGCGTTGCACCAAGATCCTTCAGTTGCTTGACACTGCTGAGGTTCTCTGATCATGAAAGCCGCACGCTGGGGAAGCATGGGGTGCGGCCTCCAAAAGTGAACCATTCCCGCTGCAGAGGGAATCACCCTCTCAGAATCTCTTATATATACATTGTTTACGCGCAAGTTGATTGTTTCGATATTCATCCGGGGGGTCAGACCCGCCCGCATGCTCTGTGCTCACCCAGTCAGAATCGGACGTGTTTTGGGACGGGTCAAATGATGTCCCGTTCGCTACTTCGCCCCTGCAAAGCAATGTGGAACCCATAAACAGTCCGAAAGGTTTCATCAACCTTTCTGGCTTCCCTGGCCCAGGCAGAGTGATCCTTCGCCGACTGGTTATTACAAGGCCTCACTCCAATCTTGGTTCCAATTTAAGTACATCCACGTGAAAGGGCTAAAGGACGCTGAATCTGTCCTGCTGTGTGTTTGGGTTTGTTTGGGGGGCACCAGGCTGATGCAAGAGGCCCTGGGCAGCTCGGGCCGCGCGGAGGGGGAGTTCGAGTTCTGCTCAGATCGCGCCTTGGACGGACGGAAAGGCTACGGATCGGCCATGGAGCGGCCGTCGATTGGGGCCAACGGTTTATCTTCCCCAAAACCAGCGAAAACCCGCACCGTTTTAGTACAGAGGGATGCTTTAGTTGGACCCTATTTTCCGCGACGGCTTAAAATGCGTACCAGCATTAATGAAGCCAACCATATGAAGAGGTGTCCGGTTTTGATACATCCCTGTTGAAAAGGCTATCACCAAATCAGCTATTGAACAACTTTCTATACCTGAAAGCAAAGACTCACCACAATGAATTCAATCAGTTGCAGGGTTTTCTAGTTTTGATGTACGAGTCATACGAGTCAAACAAGGACACCACTCTAAAAGCCAACAGGTAGACCATGTTCCTGATTTTGATGCCCGGGCACATGGATCATCGGATGGTTTTTTTTTGTGTGCCAGGGTCTGGAAGTCTGGAAGTGCATACACCTGTTTGGGCAACAGAGACCTCACCCTGAATGAAAGCTTCTTTCATAGAAATCCCCGATTTGTCGGACGGTGAACTGTTGTGATTGACCACTCAGATGCATGTGGACGGTGGACCTTGAAAGCTTCGGACAGGTCTTGAAAGGGGTAAAGGGTGTTAGTTGGAGGGTATGGTTGACAAATATTATTTCCTTTGAGGATGTGAACGCCCAAAGGTGTATCCGGTTGAAGTTGGGCCCTGATTTTGGACCAACTTCGCCAGCATGTCGTGTGGGCACCGGCGCTTTAGTGCCGCTTTCTGGGGTGCCCAGAGAGTACCCTAAGTTACGAATACGCGGAGGGCCCATGTTGGTGTGACTGTTTTCTCCATTACAATGACACTCTCCAACTTAAAAATGGACACAACTGTTTGCCCCCTGAGATCGGGTGGAACACCAAGTGGTGTGGTTCAGGTAGCAGCAGAGAGCAATGGAATAGGTGGGGGGCTTTGCATCGCTCAGGGCGTATCGAGAAGGAGCAGTTCGATCGACTCGCGTCTTTTGTGCGGGGCCACGCAAGGCTTTTGGAATCTCTTTTGTTTTGGTTCATTTTGCTGGAAGGTTCACTCTATCTTTGGTGCATTTTGCTTGGATGCTAGGACTTTATTTTTTTGCCAACTAATGGCTTTTCCATTAAACCACTAAAAGTTGAACTTTAAGCGGGGAGCAGAAAGCAACCAAGCTATCGAGTGGTTGATTCGGAGCGGCAACAGCTGAGATGTGTGGTTGTTTCTTGTCTCCAAGATTGGGGATGGTTATCCAGTCGTTCCCCTATGAAGAATCCCAAAAGTATGTGGCTATGAAATTGAGTGGGGAATACACTCAAAGATTGGTGCAAACCATGCACATCATGTTCAAAGCAGAGGGTTTTTGGTTCCGTGTTGAATCCCGTAGGTTGCTTGTCGTTGGAACATCCTCAAGGCGGAACCCCCATGTGTCAAACTTTGGGAAGACTAGATTTTGGCGACAATGCGCAGGATGAGCTGCCAAATGGCGTGATGTTGAATCGTTGGAACGCCAACTCAAGGAGGATTGGTGGTTACTTCTGAATTTCTAATGTCCGACGGATGGCCAATTCATCAAGGAAGAACATGTGACCATCTTGGAGGTCTGCTGTTTGTGGGACCTGTTCCTATGTGCCATAAGCACACGGATCTCGGACTCACAAATTGTCAAGCTACGTGAGGTTCGTCAACGTATCCAGTCTATGGTCCCGCGACATGGGGACTCTCCAGCTTTGCCATAGCCACGCGACTCACTGATTCCCATGCCCTTAGGAAATTGACCGCTGTGCCAGCCCCAGGAGTGCCAACGTCTTGGTTTCGATAGCGAAGACATCCAAGTCGCCAGGCACGCGGGACAGCCTTGCAAAACAAGCCGAACCGCTGAGAATTCTGCAAAGTCTCTGCTCTGTGAGACGGCTTTGGGGGCAATATATTGGACCTTGACGAGATTGTTCTAGGGGTTGATTCCCCATTGTTTTCAGCCATCGTTCTTTCAATAACCAGCTGTTTCCCTGGCTTTTTAATGGTCTGAAAAGAATGATCCCTGGAAAGAATGGGGAAGGTAGCTCTAGACTTGTGGGAAGCTAGACTTACATCCGGAGGGCCATGATGTTCATAGTGCCGCAGGCTCACCCGAGATGATCTGCAGCATCTGAAGGCCATCGGCGTGGCTGGGAAGCGTTCGGCCGGACCCCTGGGTCAATTTGCGCGCACGCGCGCGTGAGCTTCCCTCGGAACGTGCTCCTAAGGGTATTCTAGGGCAGCATGTGGCAACATCTTGTGTATGTGATATCTCTATACATACAATATGAATGGGTGTAGGCTTACAAATTGACCCAAGTACGGTGCTTGCTAGTGCTAGGGCGCCATATACTGCAAATCCTGAAATTCCATCAGGAAGCCGTTTGTTCTTTGCAACGCCCCCGCTGGCAGCTTGTTGTTTGAATTTTGCAGGCGCGGTTCTGGGCCTGTTAGTTTGTCAGGGGCTCAACGTACAGAGGGGGGGTCCAAGAAGCCTTTTGGGCAGATATTACATGCATCCTTTGCATCATAACCACCCTCATGTATTACCCTCACAATTCTCATACTCGTACTCAGGCAGCTACCCCTACTCATGCATGCACATTCAATCTCATACTCATACTCGTGCTTAGACTTGCAGCCACACTCAACCTCACAGTCCTACTTGTCTTATCGTCGCCACTGTAGTCGTCCTCGCCCTTTTTTTGTTTGGCCTCACTCTTGTCGCTTTCCTCCGTCTCCTCTTCCTCCTTCCCCTCCTCAGCATCATCGACACCGCCATGATCATGAGAATCATCACAACTTAACTCCCCGCTCGTTTTGGCGCTCCCATCAGCCATTTAACTCGGGGGTGAGAGACAGGCGCAAGTCCGTGCATGTCCAAGAGAAGTTGAAATGTAATCATATTATTGACTTCTCTTTGTGTCCTTTCTATTTTAGATTATTATGCCAAGGATTTTGCAGATAATCGTCTATAACCAAGAATTCTCGACCACCCACTGTCTCTCACCATCCTCCATCATATGCTGTGTCTATAGGCAAGTCTCTCTTCCTGCCTCCCTTTCCCTTCTCAATCTCTTTTACTTGGCTTGCGAGGTGTTGCAAGGAAGGTTGACCATGAGACGACCAAAAGCGGACAAGGAAGAGATGAAAAGGAATCCGAGTAAACCAAACCAATCTCTTACCTGTTTGCATAATCGTTTCGAGGCGAACGACCCTGCAGCATGTTGGGTGAAAGTTGGTGGCTCAACTGAAGGCACGCCAAGAAGGTTTGTGTTCGGCGAACCCACAAAATGGCTGCTGACTATCCATGATATGACTCCCAATTCTCCATCTGGTGAGGATTGGAAAGGCATGGAATGACAGTTAACGGATCAATAATCCAGGATATTGTCGTTAGCGCGGGTTGCCTCCAGCTATAGAAAGCCATTTAAAGGATTTCCCTCCCAGAGACAGCTTTCATATCTTTATCTCTCACGTCGACATATGCGGGGAGAGAGAGAGAGGGGGGGAGAGAGAGGACAGGGAAGCTTCTCTCTCTCTCTCTCTCTTTACCAGCCTATATCCTGTCTAAAGTGATTCATCCTTGGAATCGTCCCTCCGCTCCGCTCTTTGCCGTTGGGATAGATACTATCCTTGACTTTGCTTTTGACCCTTTCACCTTTGTATCTAGGATATTATTAAGAGGTGAGAGAGGGAGAAGGAAGAATGAAAGGAACGATCATGAAGAATCTGGACTGGATTTCATATTTGGAGTTCATGCGGTTGGACAAAGAGTCAGGATTCTTGAGGATATGATAGACACAGCGTATGAAAGAGAGATCGCATGGAAAGTCCCAGATACAACGATGAATGAGGAAGAGGGAAATGGGAACGAGCAAAGCATTCACTCACCCACTTCTCTCCACTGTCTCTCCACCACATGTCAGCTCTTGGAATCGCATGTCAAGTAAACGATTGGAGAGAGTGGGTATGCGAGAGAAAGAGCTGGCCATTCATCTCTCTCATTCTTGTTCCACATCCTAAAGTAATTTCTAATGTAACAATACAAGGAGAGTGAATGATGCATGGTAAAAATAAAGCATATTACATTTTCTTGTGAGAAGTATTTGTTTGAGTTGTAACAATATGTATGCGTCTTGGTCGTTTTTTTTCTTCTTCTGTTTTTTGTTCTTACGCCATTTTTCCCAAGTTCTTGCAATCCCATTCTGTATCTGAGACATTGGATGGGATTGGTAAGGAAAGAGAGTGTGAGCAGGATGACGAATGAACGATATATAGACCATATGAAAGAGACAGAGATTGCAAGGATGAATTCGTCCCAACCCTAACTTACCAACAATCCCAATGTAGAAGAGAAATGAACAAGAAAGCCAGACATGTTTTAAGGATTCATTATCACAATCATTTCTATCATGGTAGTATTCCTATTTGTTGGATCTCATTCACTTTTAATTTTCAGAATCTATGTGCATAGTGTTTTGTTGTTGTTCTGCTTGGTAAGCTCAAAAAAAAGAACTGATTATAATGTATCTTTGCAATGTTCATTGCAATGTCTCTCCAGAAGCGTCCCAATCATTGTTATTTTGTGCTTGCCTTTTCGTTCTGGTAATATTTGGCATTGGGACGGTTTCTATCTTTCTCTCATCTCCTTTTCATTTGCTGAGAGTAGTTAAGAGAAAGGAGATGTGAAGTGAGAAAGAGATGCCTAGGATTTTTCAGACACCCGTCTATACTTGTTACCAATAATTCTTGAATCTCAGCTGCAAATGATGGGGACTTGCATGATTTAACTCCCAATGCTCTATCTTGCTTATGGATGAGAGATAGACAGAGAACTGGCTTGTTTATGCCGGTGTAAGTCTTGAAGTCGTCCTGTTTCCACCACTCTCCAACATAGGAACGGAGAGTGTGGAAGGGAATGGATGCTGTAATTCCAGGAATGGAAAGAGTCTGTAAAGGATGGGGCATTTCTTGGCATACCATAAATTCCTGAGAAATGCATTGGGGAAAAGGTAAGAATAATTGCAATAGATGTGCACCAGCCGACGTTGCCTGAGGTCATGATGGCGTGCGTGATTGCTCTCTATAGCTGGCCCCTCAGCGGGTCTGCCTAAGGTGAGCGCAACACAGTGATGTTGTTCGGGGGCTTGCTAAGTCACTAGGTCTCCCAGTAGTACCCTTTTACCCTTTTTTGGGGGAGGGTTCCCCTACTAAAATAGACTACAGGAAAAAGGGTCCCCTTATTCCAAGCTCTCTACTGCAGGACCTAGGTCAGGATTCGGAAGTGCCGCAAATTGTGCAGATGAGACTGATCGATCCCCAAGGTGCGGGTGTTCTTTCGCAGGTTGTATTCAGATATGCAGGCCCCGGAGAAGCGCCCTTGCCGCTTTGGTGCGACAAAACACCCGTGGGCTGTGTGTAGCTCACTTGTTGCAAAAGACCACTGCATGCTATGCTATAGGAGGATTGCCAGTCTTGCAGGCAACGTGCTAGCCTTCGCACGTGCACAGTGATATTTCTCAAGAATGGGTACTCCTTTGAACAGATTGACTTGAACACGTATAGCAGAGGGGGGGGCATGGGGCCTGCTTTTTTGCAGGTGTACAACATGTTTTGAAGCTTCCGTCCCGCCCCGGGCTCTAGCGTCACTAGATAGCTCCGGCTTCAATGCATCGGGTTTCCGGCGATCGAGGGGATCCGGGCCGCCACACGATGAACCACAAGTCCTTCTGGCAGGCCTTGCAGGACGGGAACATTCACCCTGGCCACTGGTATCAGGGTTCTACTGCGTGTTTTAGTAGTCCTACAAAAAACTGCATATATATATATATTTCATGAAATCAATTGTTACTGAGTTACTGGGCTTTGAGCCATGCTCAAAATGGAACAGGCCGTTCGGGCGCGGCTAAGGAAATTCGAAGCAAGAGGCAGATAGAACATAGTATCCTGGTTTGCCACTCTTGTTTGCGGAGGCTCTGACTTGCTGAAAGAAGTAAGTAGATGAGACATGATACAGGCACTCAGCTTCCCTTGGGATCCAACCCTACCCTTGACATGGGTGACGTGGTGTCACAAGTTGCCAAGGCTCCCATTGGCCGACCGCAGGACTATGAGCTGGACAAGCCTTTCGAACGTCTTATGGATTCGGCGGGGGACGATCAGGAGGCGTGCGATTCGTGCCTGGCTCATTCGGAAACCAATTCCCTTCGCAGCTATTTGGTGGGTTTGTCATCCAACATCTCAAGGCATCTGCCTCAATCTCCCACCCCATGGGTGTATGACGAACTCACCATCTTTTTGGATTTGCTTAGTTCAGCTTGATGCAATATGTAGCCGGTGCGTTGCATACCTGCCGTCCCAGATCCCTTAGAGTCATTTTTGAGTCTTTAGTCTCTCCGAGGCGTCCTGTCCGACGCTTTGAAGCTCGGGGGTGGCAATGCATCTTTCGATTTCCAGGGATTACGCTCTCCGATTTCTCATGTCACTGGTGGTCAAGTCGATCCTAAAGACATTCGGGTAGCTTTCCGTCAAGTGACGGGGTCGCAACAGGAATGTGATGCAAACAGAGGTGGCCCTTTTGGTGGTGGAAAGTCGATGGCATTTCTTCTCATTTGCCAGTGCCCTCCATTTTTTCCCAACTGACCCCCAGAGACCCGCGCAGCCTGGATGGCCTTTTGGGAGCCTGAAGCCATGCAAACCTTCGGCCAGGCATGGAACTCTTGGAACAGCTATGGCAGCTATGGCGGCTACGGCAAGAACGGCGGCAAGAACCACCGAGGCGATTACGAGGATCGGCCCACAGGACGCGCGTTGGGGCGAAGCTTCACCGGTCTGGCCATAGATGAAGATCTACAGGTCTAGCCACTGATTACATCTCAAGGAGCAGGTCAAGCACATCCGAGTTGACCCATGAATGTGTTACTGTTTTTGCATCGGGGGCCATGCCCAGTTCCTTTGGTTCGATGGTCAAATGTGATGTATCATGCTTCTCTCAAGGCCTGTGCATCGAGTTGCCTTCACGCCAGAGAGAGAAAGAGAGAGAGAGAGAGAGAAAAGATAACAACAAGAGAAAAACAAGCGAGAACAAGAGAGAACAAGAGAGAGAGAGAGAGAGAAACAAAAACAAACAAGCAAATGAGAGAGAGAGAGAGAGAGAGAGGGCAAGGTTGTGCCGCAGAGTCTGTATCAGACCAATCCTGGCGGGCGATGCTTGTCTCAGTTTGTCTGAGCAGGAGAGCTAGGACCACTTATCCGAGTGATAGTACATGTTTGAAGGGACCAGCCGACCTGGCCAACCTGAGTCCCAGAATTCTGTGGGGCCCAACATGGCAACAAGCCACTACACTCATGAAGCTGGAGGGTCCCTTTGGCTTCCGACGGTCACATCTGCAACCTGTTCCCGCGCTACTTGAATCCGGGCCCTAGTTTGAGTGAAGCTCCGGCTGGAATGAGGTGTCAAGTGCGTTGTGTACATCGCCCTCCTTTGGCTCATGTCGATCAATTACTCCACACTAAGAGCACCCTCAAAATGGATGGTCATGAATCCCATTGCAAACTATGTCCACCAAAGGATGCTTAATGAACAAACTCAGACCCATAATCTCAGAGCCAACCTTTCTCTGAGGAGTGTTCGCCGACGAGTCTCTTGTTGGCACCGTCTTTGAGCGCGGGGGCGCCTGATGGGCGGAACTAAGGAAGCGGCACGCGCATAAACAGATTCATCATGTTTAGTACCCCCGCATCATAACCTCGTACCTTTCCCAAACCCTATCGTAACCAGAATCTATACCTAATATCACTAGGGTCAAACGCACGATAGTTGCAAACGCTTCGTTGCCCGCCTCGGCCAGTCTGCTTTTGGCTGGCTTGGAGGTTGAGCTGATTTGGCCAGTTACTTTCAGGTTGGGGCTTGAGTTCGCAAGAAAAAGGGTCTCCCTCAGGCCCTCAGTTGATCCAGGAAGTCAGGGCCCTTTCCTGGGAGTCATGCGCAAAGTATCACAAGTCCCACAGATTTCAAGTCACCCGGATGTTCTTCAAGGAATCGACATGCTTTTTTAGGGGGGAGGGAATCCACATGTCCGATGTGTCTGACAAGGCCATGGAGTGAAGTTGAATGTGATCTGCGGCCGCGTGGTAGGCGGGCGGGCCGAGATCGGTAGTGGGGGCAACGGGCGTTTGGGGGCATTCGGAGCAGGAAGCGGGCTTATGTTCTGTGAGCCAAGGGAAATGCAACGGGAACCAACTTGCTTCCACATGCCTGTGGATGGGAGGTCTGAAGCCAAAACTTCCCCCACCCCGCAAACGACGCAAACAGCCGCAAACGACTTGGAGGTTGGCACGTTTTGGGGCCCATGTGATAGGGAAGATACCCTGGTCCGTTCGTGGCAAAGACAATCCCCTTTGTGAAAGTGACAAAGTCATAGACATGTCCCTGTTTGGCACAGCATGGCACAAGCCGCAGTGGGTGAGAACAACAGCAACCGCTGTTCTCGCGCAAGCGCGCATAAGCACCTTGGAAGTTCCTTGCCTGGACCTTGTGAACACTGAGCCGTTTCCCGCAACCATGATGCAAGCGAGTAATCCAGGGAACTGCGCCATAAGCTAGCGGCGCAATGTCTGGGATCTTCACACTTCACAGGGATCATGTGAGCAGGGTGCAAAGCCAGGTTGCTTGCGATTGAAAGCAAGGCGGTGCTCATTGTTCCTTCGCGGTAGTGGTTTGGGGGTAGCGGAAACTCTGAATTGGACAGATTCGGTGTCACACGCATCATGTTCCGCCGGCCAGTCATGGATCTGGCGCAGCACTCCATGTTCCACGGCAACGCGTCCTGGCTGCTCCAGGCGAGTGGGCGGGGGATTTTGGGGCTGAGAAGTCAGGAGGTTTCCGTTTTCTGGAAATGAACACATCGCATTGGGCTGTTTGTGGTTTTGAAAACTCATCCTGGCCTTGCCAACGTTCAAATGAACTTCATGTAGGGCAGGGTTTCGGGGGGACAGACGGAGGAGGGAGGGAGCGGCCCAGTCACAAGCAATGGGTGCATTCCGCTTGCGTGGAAACCCTGGAAACAAGGGCCATGGGCTGACGAATAGTGATTTCCGCACAAAGTCGATTTGAAAGGATGGTGCGAGCTGGGCCGTTGTTTGCATGTTGAATCGTGGCCGCTGCAAAGCCTTTTTGTTTCAACACACATATCGTCTCGTGGCATCCGCGCATCCAAGCGCAATCTCAAATTAAGCGGCAAAGGCAGTCAGTATGTGAAGATGTATAACTATATACATTCATATTAATACATACGGACAACATGCAAATTGTCTAGCTGATGCTAGTTCCATTTTAGGGGCACCTCCAAAGGGTCCTGAACCATTTTGACGCAGCCAAAAGACCTACAAATGGTCAAGTGGGTTTTTCGCTCTTTTAGGAAACGATGGTCAATGGAAAGCAGTTACGCATTAGCGACAGATAGATACAAGAGCAAACAACAATCATCCCCTACTGGCGGATTCTAAATCATGGCGAGCATTTTTCGGTCACACAGGCGATTACATATGGGCCATGGGGATTTGCTATACGCACGAAATGGGAACTGAGGATTTAAAGTCCATTGAACGTGTTTTGTCCCATGGACGGACTCCACTCGGGAAGCAGACCAGACCGATTGGTAGTCCGGAGTTGGCAGAAGGTCTAGCCCTTTGGGGTCACGGTCCTTTGCACTTAGTTTTGATATGTGGGAAAGGAAAACAGCAAAGACAGTAAGGAACTTCCATGAGTAGCTCTAGTGCATGTTTTGGACAGTTCTTTGGTTCCTTGGTTCTGTGTTATGTTTGTTTATTGGTGGGGCAAACAAAAGTGGTTCGCTAACCAAGGGTGGGAAGGTGCGTTCCAGCAAAGAGTTCAACCTTTCTTCCTCATGCCTGGCTGGCTCTCAGGCAGTGACTGGGAGTTGCTCGAAAGCGGACGGGCTCTATGAGTATTTCCAGGCCAGCGGGCAAGATGCGATGCGCACATGACTTGCTTGACCCTCTTTGTATGTTCTTTTGTGAGTGCCCTTTGTTTTTGCGTGCGCTCCCTTGGGTGCCCGTATATGGGCAGAACCATGGCATGCGTGTGCACGAGTGTTTGCATGTCTTGCGTGCGTGTGCGTGTGCGTGTGCGTGTGCGTGTGCGCGTGCGTGTGTTTGTGCGTGCGTGCGTGCATGCGTGTGCAGGTGCAGGTGCGTTTGCGTTTGCGTGTGCGTGTGCGTGTGCGCGCGTGTGTGTGTGTGTGTGGGTGGGTTGGTGGGTGGGTCGGTGTGTGTGTGTGCGTGTGTGTGTGTCTGATGTATGTATGTATGTAATGTATGTATGTATGTATGTCTGTATGTAATGTATGTATGTATGTATGTATGTATGTATGTATGTATGTATGTATGTATGTATGTATGTATGTATGTATGTATGTATGTATGTATGTATGTATGTATGTATGTATGTATGTATGTATGTATGTATGTATGTGTATGTATGTATGTATGTATGTATGTATGTATGTATGTATGTATGTATGTATGTATGTATGTATGTATGTATGTATGTATGTATGTATGTATGTATGTATGTATGTATGTATGTATGTATGTATGTATGTATGTATGTATGTATGTATGTATGTGTAATGTATGTATGTATGTATGTAATGTATGTATGTATGTAATGTAATGTAATGTATGTATGTAATGTATGTATGTAATGTAATGTAATGTAATGTAATGTAATGTAATGTAATGTAATGTAATGTAATGTAATGTAATGTAATGTAATGTAATGTAATGTAATGTAATGTAATGTAATGTAATGTGTAATGTAATGTAATGTAATGTATGTAATGTAATGTAATGTATGTAATGTATGTAATGTAATGTATGTATGTATGTATGTAATGTATGTAATGTATGTATGTATGTATGTATGTATGTATGTATGTATGTATGTATGTATGTATGTATGTAATGTATGTAATGTATGTATGTATGTAATGTAATGTAATGTAATGTAATGTAATGTAATGTAATGTAATGTAATAATGTAATGTAATGTAATGTAATGTAATGTAATGTAATGTAATGTAATGTAATGTAATGTAATGTAATGTAATGTAATGTAATGTAATGTAATGTAATGTAATGTAATGTAATGTAATGTAATGTAATGTAATGTATGTAATGTAATGTAATGTAATGTAATGTAATGTAATGTAATGTAATGTAATGTAATGTAATGTAATGTAATGTAATGTAATGTAATGTAATGTAATGTAATGTAATGTAATGTAATGTAATGTAATGTAATGTATGTATGTAATGTAATGTATGTATGTATGTATGTATGTATGTATGTATGTATGTATGTATGTATGTATGTATGTATGTATGTATGTATGTATGTATGTATGTATGTATGTATGTATGTATGTATGTATGTATGTATGTATGTATGTATGTATGTATGTATGTATGTATGTATGTATGTATGTATGTATGTATGTATGTATGTATGTATGTATGTATGTATGTATGTATGTATGTATGTATGTATGTATGTATGTATGTATGTATGTATGTATGTATGTATGTATGTATGTATGTATGTATGTATGTATGTATGTATGTATGTATGTATGTATGTATGTATGTATGTATGTATGTATGTATGTATGTATGTATGTATGTATGTATGTATGTATGTATGTATGTATGTATGTATGTATGTATGTATGTATGTATGTAATGTATGTATGTATGTATGTATGTATGTATGTATGTATGTATGTATGTATGTATGTATGTATGTATGTATGTATGTATGTATGTATGTATGTATGTATGTATGTAATGTATGTATGTATGTATGTATGTATGTATGTATGTATGTATGTATGTATGTATGTATGTATGTATGTATGTATGTATGTATGTATGTATGTATGTATGTATGTATGTATGTATGTATGTATGTATGTATGTATGTATGTATGTATGTATGTATGTATGTAATGTATGTATGTAATGTAATGTATGTATGTATGTATGTATGTATGTATGTATGTATGTATGTATGTATGTATGTATGTATGTATGTATGTATGTATGTATGTATGTATGTA